CCTGACCTAGGGAGGATTTTATACTGGGTTCATTTTTAGGAATTTGGAAGACACAACTTTAAAATTTGGTTTAATTCGGTTTTATAGGGGGGGATTGTATATATGCTTTGGTTTTAAATATGTTGTGCGCCGCCCTGAGTCCCGCAGGGAGAAGGGCGGCATATAAATTAAATTAAATAAATAAATAAATAAATAAATACAATAGTGCTGGAATTGCACAATCAGCCAAGATAGGTGGATGATGGGCTGGATCAGCAAGCACTTGCATTATTGGATTTAGGTACAAATTAAAAAGTAGTGGAACTAATATGCAACCTTGCCTTACACCTCTATAAGTTGGAACTGCTTTAGATAAATGTCCCCAGGGGGAACATCTGATTTTTAGAGAGGTATTTGAATAGAGCGACTGAATGAGAACCAACAGCCTTTTATCAATCGTGGAATGTCTTAGACTATACCACAATCTGTCCCTTGGTATTAGATCAAAAGCTGACTTAAAATCAACAAAAGTTACATAAAGAGAACCACAAGAGGGGGTAGAATATTTTTCAGCCAAATGGTGCAGAATTAGACAATGATCCAGTGTTCAACATTCCTACCTAAATCCGGCCTGTTCTTCAGCAATAATATTTTCATTTTGTACCCAATCCACTAACTTTGTATATAAAAATCTGGCATAGATTTATTTATTGTATTTAATAAACTAATAGGCCTATAGTTTACAGGGTCAAGTCTACTTCCTTTATTTTTGTATATCGGTACTACAATGGCCTGATTCCAATCAGGTGGAAAATGTCCTATGTTATTAATATGAGTGAATAGGATGGCTTATTTTCCCTTATTAATTCTGGGGGGATAAGATATAAAAGAAATAAACATTATGATCAGACAAAAACAGAGGTGAAATAAGCCAGATGAGATATATCTCCCATGAAAAACAGAACCAAATGCAGATTTAAGTATGCTTTCCAGTAATACAATGATATGCCAATAGTATGCTTGTTTCATTTCTGTGCTCAGATATGTGAACAAAGAAAGATGCTAACAATTTAACTTAGATACTTTTTTGATATGTGGAATTGTTTCATTTTCCATTTAATAACCAAAAATGTCCTGCCCCCCAAAGCTGTAAATTAATAGTCCAAGACATTCTGATTATTACAAAAACCTGAGTAGTATTTGAAGCAGCAACTAGAAATGTACATTCACGTTTATAAAATTTAAGCTCTACTGAACAGTACATCAGGGCATTCCCAATCTCCACATATGCATCTGATAATTTGTTATTGTTATGGGCATCCTAAAATGTATACATTTAATAAAGCCAAAAATGAAAATACCTTTGAAATGTTGTATGCTCTGTAAAATGAGGTGACCCGTGCAACATATAGAGTCCTTCAGATCCTCGTACTAGCAAAATAATGGAATAATAAGTCATATGTTTATTTTGCTTCAAATACATTAATCCTTAGTTTCATACAATAGAGAAAATTCTAAATTAAATGAGCATATTTTGGTTTAATAATAAAATATGAATATATATGTTATGTAATAACCATCCAATCAGTGAACAAGCAAACCTGAAGCTTCATATTTATTTATCAAATATATATTATGCTCATCTCGCAGCTTGAGACAACTGTGAACCACTTACAACATGATAAAGCAAATGGATGTAAAAACAATCATAAGTATAAAAAAGATTAAAGTTACAAAAACAATGGGTTTGGAGCAGAGAGGTACTACATTAGCCACCCCCATCCAACAGTTGCTCTTTTATGGCCCCATGACAACTGGCAGAGCCAGATTTTAAAGCATTTCCTGAAGGCCAGACAGGCAGGGGCAGACCTCACTTCCTGCAGCAATATGTTCCAGAGTGTGGAGGCTGTGGCAAAAAAGGCTCTTTCTTCTCCTGGACCTCACTGGCAGCAATTCCTTGGCTGATGGGATCCGCAATAGGCCTCTTCTACCAGGATGAGTGGAGCAGGCCAATCCCATTGTGGCAAGGTGGCTCCTGAAATATCTCAGATCTATGCCACAGACAGCTTTAAAGATGATGACCAACACCTTGAATCAGACCCAGATCAGATCAGCAGCCAGTGCAGCTCACATATCAGTGATGTTACATGTGCCACACTAGGAGCCTTCAAAACTCTACATGCTGCTGCATACTCTTGTAACTTCCTAGAGTTGCTTCAAAACACAATGAATGGCTATTAAATTTAATAAGTAAAATAAAAAAATTCTGGACCAACTGTAGCTTCCTAATACTCTTCAAGGATAGCCCCATGTAAAATGTGTTGCAATAATCCAAACAGGAGATAATGAAGGCATGAGGAACTGAGCACAAAGCCTCACAATACAGAAAGGATACATAACCTGAAGTTGTACAAAGACTCTCCAAGCCACGACTGCCATTAACCCCAAGTTGGGAAGTCAGCATGCCTCCAAATACCAGGTATAGAGGAGTATGTTTACATTTGCTGCTTATAAGCACCCACAAGGCACCCATCAATCAATCAATATATCGTTGTCCCTGACGTAGAATAATCCAAAATAATCCAACACTTAACAGACCAGTGTTTCCTTTGTGGTAGTACACTTTAGCATGATATAAAGTGAAGGAGAAACTTAATGTACTACACACTCACTATTTGCTCTTAGCACTTTTATTTTTAAGTGCTTTCATACTGGCATAAATCCCAGGGAAGACCAGTGACTTGGAACAAAATTACCTTAAGCAAATATTGAAATCTGTACAAACACATTAATATTACACATCTCATGAAGTGGCATTTACTCTCTAATGTCCCACTGTTAGTTATTTCACTGACATATTAACTCCAGCAAAATAGAAGGTAGTCATTTAAAATTAAGTCTAGGAGCATGCCTCTGGCATTAGCTCTGCAGAAGTATTTTAAAAGATTACTTATGATGCTATGTACTTGTGATGCAAACTAATATAAAATATCAAACAATACTGAAAACGAAAAGTACAATAAATGTAAAACCAGTTTAGGTTGGATTCACACGCATCTTCACATGAATGTAATTACATTATCCTACTTTACTTGCGTTCAGAATTACATAAAAATAGCCCTGCTTCAGGATTTATGCCAGAGAAAAGCATGGTTGCATGCATGACTCCACTCCCTCTCTAACTTTGAGCTCTACGACTTCTGTAGTGCTTAACTGTTTTTCATCTAGGACATTTTCTAAATTGGAGTATAACATGAGACAAAAAGCAAACATTTCATTACCCAAACTACCCATGTTTTCCCAAAAATAAGACCAGGTCTTATATTAATTTTTGCTGCAAAAGACGCTTAGGGCTTATTTTCCGGTTAGGTCTTATTTTGGGGGAAATACAGTACTAAATACATCCGTCTGGCTGACGATCTTAACTAGGGCTTATTTTGGGGTGGGGCTTATATTACAAGCATCCTGAAATATCATGCTACGGCTTATTTTCCGGTTGAGTCTTATTTTCGGGGAAACATGGTAGGTAACATCATCAGACTAGCATTATCTAGTTTGGATAATGAAATGTCTGCAAGAAAACAACCAAGCTCAGAAAGCCATAAGGATCCCTCATTTCAACCCTGAGCTACAGACTCCTTTATTGGCATGCATAAATATGCTAGATGAAAGGGTTAGTGCAATATCTGACCCAGCATAGTCCTAACCAGGAGTTTAGTACCACAGCAAACATCAAGCATTTCGCCATTAGTTAAGTATAGTGCAAGAGAGTTCAGCAGTATCTGATCATCTGGCAAATACCAGTAGGGCCAGACAGGGGTTGCACAATGGAGCCTCTGTAATAAGGATATCTGCCAAACCAAAAAAGAGCCTTTAGGGATTCATGAACAAACAATGTCATTCTGGAGAGTTTCCATTCAAAAAAATGGAGGAAGGAAATTATGTAGGTGATAATAGAGAAAGGAAGTTAAAATGGAAAAGATGGGGAAAGCGTCTTGGGTATTAGCACGTTCCAAACCTGACTTCTCTCTAGTCTTGGACGAGTCGGGAGACATCTAGACCAGTGATGGCAAACCTTTTAGAAACCGAGTGCCCAAACCGCAACTCAAAACCCACTTATTTATTGCAAAGCACTAGGGCCGCATCAGCATTGTGGTGCCCTCAGGGCAGGGAGGCTCCTCTGAGTGCTGCCTCTGGCACGCAAAAACCGGGGGCACAAAAATGGGCCACCATTGTGCAAGACGCAAAAATGGCCGCTACCAGATACAAGGTGCTGCATCACATAAGAACGGGGGAGGGCTAGTATCACGCAGGCACTAGCCCCACCCCATTTGCAGTGTGTCAATGCTCACGGCCCCATGTGTGCATGCACGCATGTAAAATGCTTCCCCCTCCCTTTTCTTCCAGTCCACCAATCAACAATGGTTGGTGACCTCTGCTCTACCACCGCTACTCGAGCTTGCTAGTCGGCTGCTTCGCTTCCTTTGTGCTGGGCGGTGGTGGCCTGATGGACCTGCTGCTGGCGGCGGTGGAGCGCGTGCCAACAGAGAGGGCTCTGAGTGCCGCCTCTGGCACATGTGCCATAGGTACGCCACCACTGATCTAGACTCTTTACTGTCTGAATGAACATAAATGTGCTGAGTGAGCATAAATGAATACTTTGGGTACATACAATGCATTTAGTAATATTTGTAAACTTAAAACTATCGTTCTTCAAAAAGTAACTTTTTCCTGTCATGGTTGAATCCAGACTCTTTGACAAAATGACTGATGGAATGCAAGGATGTCCGAAATTTCAGATACAGTTCCCTCGAGAGATACTTCTGTCTGCAGCTAAGCCCTTGTATAAACAGGCAACCGAATGCTCTTCCCCAACGACTCTTTCCCTTTAGAAGCCTACGTTAGCCATGCACGTAATACCAAAAGTGCTCTGCACAGAAAACAGCTCACTGGAGAGGTACAACTCCCCCCCCCACAGAAAAAAGTGAAGGGTTATACAAAATTCCGCTAAAATGCCACAAGTGTGTGACATTCTCAGGCCTCTACCAGACTTCACAACAAGCCTTGGCAGAGAACGGGTCTGGTTGATTTATTCTGAACCCACCTGCCAAGAGCGGCGTGGGAGGCGCCATCTTTATCCGGATGCGGCACTTGTCCTTCCGGGCGGCGCACAACGGGTCACAGCCGAAAACTGTACACGTCTGCTCTGCCCTCCATCGCCAGCTCAATAGCGGAGTTTTTTTCCGGGTGACGTGTAGCAAGCTGAAGGGGAGGATAGGAGAGGGCCATGGATCACATGGCCCCGAGAAAGCTTCGCCACAGGCTCAAGCGAGCTCAGCGCCCATTGGACAATGACAATAGAGGGCGGGAGTTCCGTCAACTACGCTTTTTCAGGCGAAAGCGTGAGCAGCGGAGGCTCGAGGACAGTCTCGCTTCCGGGGGGGACGGCCCTCCCGCCCGCTTGGCCGCCGCTGGGCAACGCGCTTCCGGAGGGTGGGATCTGCGTGAAGGGCAGTTGCTGCTTACGCGGCGGCTTGGCTGGGAAGAACCCGAGAGAGGCGAGGTGGACGGTCCTCCCGTGATCCCCGGCGCGGAGCTCCCACAGCCCGAGAGCGGCGTCGCTCGGCGAGTACAGAACGGAGGCGGCGGCGGCGGCGGCGGCGGGGACGGCAACAGCAGTCAAGATGGTGGCAAAACAGCGGATCCGGATGGCCAACGAGAAGCACAGCAAAAACATCACGCAGCGCGGCAACGTGGCCAAGACCTCGGTAGGGGCCCGTCGCAGCCCTGTCTTGCTCCGGCGTCTCGGGGGCGCGTCTGCTCGCTCCCTTTCCCGCAGCAACCCGCGGCTCTCGGCGAGCCGGTAGCCCCCCGTCCCTTCTCCCAGGGAGATAGAGAGGAGCCGGTCTTGAAGGCAGCCGAGCCACCCCGCGAGGCTTGCCCCCCCCCGGTTCCACGTCCCTTTGCTTCGGCGACCCTCCCCGGCTGGGTAATCCCCGGGAGGGTTTTCTGGCGGGGCGGGGGGGGCGCGGGCTTGTGCCCAAGGCGGCTGCGAGGTTTCCGTCCCTCTAAGCCTCGGCGTCTCTCCCTGCAGAGGAACGCCCCCGAGGAGAAGGCATCGGTGGGGCCGTGGCTGCTGGCGTTGTTCATCTTCGTGGTTTGCGGTTCGGGTAAGTGTCTGCCGCTGGCTGCAGCTGGGGAGGTCAGGGTTTCCCCCCGGGAATTGAAAGCGGTGCTGGCTTTGCCGGAGGAGGAGAGGACTGGGCGAGCGAGTCCCATTGCAACATGGGTGGGTGGGTGGGTGGGTGGGGGGCCGTCTTTGGTTATGATCCAGATCAGGCAGGGATGGGAAATGCTTAGAATAGATCAGGGGTAGGCAACCTTGGCTCTTTTATGACTCGTGGACTTCAACTCCCAGAATTCCTGAGCCAGCATGGCTGGCTCAGGAATTCTGGGAGTTGAAGTCCACGAGTCATAAAAGAGCCAAGGTTGC